TTTTCGTCCGTTTTCCAGGGGATTTTGTACGATTTCCTCTGATCGTTATCATGTTTTCCTGCAGTTTCATTGGATTTTCCAATACATCCTCATGGTCTCTCCGGCCACCAAAAAGGCGGACCTAGGGGGAATCGATACCCCACCGTCAGCAAATTACCTAGTGGTACATAATCCAGAAAAATGCTCCGTTTTCTGGCGCTCAACACAGGGGCACGGCGAGATTTTGTTCCCTTTCGGCAACCATCCCCCCCCACACCCCCTATTCTCACTTCGTTCGCAAACAGCAACTAGCCAGCTAGCTGGCTTTCGTAATAAGTCTTCAGCCTGAACTCCGTATAAACTGTAGACTCTTTAGCCTTTCGTGCCCTTTCGGCAGATTCTATATGTTCCAAGAACGCTCTCGTACGCAAATCACGCAGCAATACAACAATGAAAACCGTACACAACGTTCTTCTTGTGCATGATGTTGTATAGTTATAAGACGGATGTTGAAAATTGTCATCAAATCAATTCCGATAGCATCTCTTCTCTACTCTTCTGCACCACTTGATGCTCCATTTAAGGCATCGACGCCCAAACGCCGGAAGCCCCGCTTCGTTGCCATTTCTTCAGCCGTCAGACCGTGCTGGTTGGTCACTGCAGCAGGCGCAAAGGCCTCTAGCAAGATCAAGTTTTGCCAAGAAGAAACGATCTCACAATACAGGAAGCACCCCTAAACCCTGGATTAAACATGGATCGTGCACATGATACACCTGAATAAATCATGTATGTACTGTACATTGTACCTGAGAAGGGGGGAACAAAAGCCATCATCCCATCTACCCCTATTTTCCCCCATATTTTTGACCCAGAGACTCTTCACCCAGAAACTCTTCTTGCACAGACTTTTCACCGATATACTTTTCACCCAGAGACTCTTCACCCAGAAACTCTTCTTGCACATACTTTTCACCCATATACTTTTCACCCAGAGACTCTTCACCCAGAGACTCTTCCCCCAGAAACTCTTCTTGCATAGATTTCTCACCCAGAGACTCTTCACCCAGAAACTCTTCTTGCACATACTTTCCCCCCATATACTTTTCACCCAGAGACTCTTCACCCAGAAACTCTTCTTGCACATACTTTTCGCACATACTTTTCACTCATATACTTTTCACCCAGAGACTCTTCACCCAGAAATTTTCTTGCACATACTTTTCACCCAGAGACTCTTCACCCAGAAACTCTTCTTGCACATACTTTCACCCATAGACTTTTCACCCACAGACTCTTCACCCAGAAACCCTTCTTGCACATACTTTTCACCATATACTTTCACCCAGAGACTCTTCACCCAGAAACTCTTCTTGCACAGACTTTTCACCCAGAAACTCTTCTTGCACATACTTTTCACCCAGAGACTCTTCACCCACAGATTTTTCACCCAGAGACTCTTCACCCAGAAACTCTTCTTGCACAGACTTTTCACCCATAGACTCTTCACCCAGAAACTCTTCTTGCACGTACGTTTCACCCATATACTTTTCACCCAGAGACTCTTCACCCAGAAACTCTTCTTGCGCACACTTTTCACCCATATACTTTTCACCCAGAGACTCTTCACCCAGAAATTTTCTTGCACATACTTTTCACCCAGAGACTCTTCACCCAGAAACTCTTCTTACACAGGGCCTTGGGGAACGTGACTTCTTTCTGACGGCTACTATTTCTTCTTTGTCCGTGCTTGTTTGTTAGGTTCCCTCTGTGGGGAACACCGCCTCCTTCAATAACATCTGTATATATGTATATAAGACAATATGTCATATGTCTATATATATCTCTCTCTATCTATCTATCTATCTATCTATCTAGCTACCTACATATAACCAACAGATGTCTTCTGCAGGGATGAAGTGACATGGTTTGCCATTGTGCCTATACCAAGCTGCCTCAAGATGCCAGGATCATAACACAGAATATATCATAATAATTCATCATACATCATTATCATAATTCAAAAGAGACATACTAAGAAAACCGTGCAAACTCAAGATCAAACACAAGAATTGCACAGACGTTGTGTCACTTCCTTTTCACAGGAGCAAGGTGTACAAGGCAAGGGAAACAAGCTGCCCATCTCTCTCCTCTGGGCGGTGGCACAACAGTGCCCACACCTCAAGATAGAAGTCACGTTCCCACGCCCAGGTGACACCTTTGTGCCACCAGCTCTTCAAAGTCAGTGGATCCGTGTAGCCTCGAGGCCGGGTCAGGTCCCCCAAACAAACCCGACAAACATCGTGTGTATGTAGTTGAGGTCCGGGCGGATCCAGCCGTCATCTGGTAACAGTCGGAGATCCGCTTGGTAAGCCTGTCGGGGCAGTACGGAATAACTGCCGTGCACCCGTCGGGCGCATCGGCTTCTTGGGCTGTTTGCCCCCCCCTCGCCTGGCACACCTCCGCGGAGGCATAGACCCATCCATGGGGATGGGGCCACACCTGCATCGCAGCGATGTGGTCACAAAGGAAAAGCTATCATGCGTTGCCCCGTGCCTCCTCGTCCGACGGAATGTATCCGCGTCGGACGGACCCGGTGCGCCAGGTACCTCATGCAACACGATTGCTTGCAGGAGCTCACAACCTCAGAAGCTAGTCCAATAAGACAACCCACCTCCGTGGATTCGCAGCTGGAGAGTTCCGACTCCGTTTTCGACTCTGTGTCCGACCTCAGGCCGCGCGGCAATCGCATTTGACTCTTTTGTTTCACATATTGAATTGACATATTGAAAGAGCTGCGACTGAAGTTGCTGAAGCTTGGCTTCGTCGCCTGAGATCGCCACGGCTCCGGCTCCGCAAAGGCGATGGTGTACTGGTGCCGCTCCGCGCAACGGAGGCCTGAGTCTTCAGCCGGCCGGTTCTGTTGGTGTCTAAGTGGCGTAAGACTGAGGCTCCGACACAAGTACACCACGTTGTCCCCGCGGTAGCCCGGATCCTCCCGACGATCCGGGCTAATCTCGCTGGCATTCCTGCGGCGATGCTCGGTCCAGTGACGGCCTACTTAGCTTTTCGGGGCCCAACCTACCCTCGCCTCGCAGCGGCCGCCGAAAAGTTCGAGGACAAAGACCTCGGTCCAGCGCGCTTCAGAGGCAAGCGCCTTGTATGAAACAAACTCAATTCAAAGTCGTGACCGCAACTTCTGAGTGGTGCGCGAGGCGAGCAGGCATCTTGACTGGACCTCAGCGGTTTGATCTCTTTTGAAACTTCACTTGATACAAACATATTGTTTGACCTTCTTGCACATACTTTTCACCCATATACTTTTCACCCAGAGACTCTTCACCCAGAGACTCTTCCCCCAGAAACTCTTCTTGCACATACTTTTCACCCATATACTTTTCACCCAGAGACTCTTCACCCAGAGACTCTTCCCCCAGAAACTCTTCTTGCACATACTTTTCACCCATATACTTTTCACCCAGGGACTCTTCACCCAGAGACTCTTCCCCCAGAAACTCTTCTTGCACATACTTTTCACCCATATACTTTTCACCCACAGACTCTTCACCCAGAGACTCTTCCCACAGAAACTCTTCTTGCACATACTTTTCACCCATATACTTTTCACCCAGATACTTTTCATCCAGAGACTCTTCATCCAGAAACTCTTCTTGCACATACTTTTCACCAATATACTTTTCACCCATAGGCTCTTCACCCAGAAACTCTTCCCCCAAGAAACTCTTCTTGCACTACGTTCCCCATATACTTTTCACCCAAACTCTTCACCCAGAGACTCGCCCCCAGACTCTCCTTTTCCCCCAGAAACGCTTCTTGCACATACTTTTCCCACCCATATACTTTGCACCCAGAGACTCTTCACCCAGAGACTCTCCCCCATAAACTCTTCTTGCACATACTTTCACCACCCATATACTTTTCACCCAGGGACTCTTCACCCAGAGACTCTTCCCCCAGAAACTCTTCTTGCACATACTTTTCACCCATATACTTTTCACCCACAGACTCTTCACCCAGAGACTCTTCCCACAGAAACTCTTCTTGCACATACTTTTCACCCATATACTTTTCACCCAGAGACTCTTCACCCAGAGACTCTTCCCCCAGAAACTCTTCTTGCACATACTTTTCACCCATATACTTTTCACCCAGAGACTCTTCACCCAGAGACTCTTCCCCCAGAAACTCTTCTTGCATAGATTTCTCACCCAGAGACTCTTCACCCAGAAACTCTTCTTGCACATACTTTTCACAAAGAGACTCTTCACCCAGAAACTCTTCTTGCACATACTTTTCACCCATGCACTTTTCACCCAGAGACTCTTCACCCAGAGACTCTTCCCCCAGAAACTCTTCTTGCACATACTTTTCACCCATATACTTTTCACCCAGAGACTCTTCACCCAGAGCCTCTTCCCCCAGAAACTCTTCTTGCATAGATTTCTCACCAAGAGACTCTTCACCCAGAAACTCTTCTTGCACATACTTTTCACAAAGAGACTCTTCACCCAGAAACTCTTCTTGCACATACTTTTCACCCATATACTTTTCACCCAGAGACTCTTCACCCAGAGACTCTTCCCCCAGAAACTCTTCTTGCATAGATTTCTCACCCAGAGACTCTTCACCCAGAAACTCTTCTTGCACATACTTTCCCCCCATATTTTTGACCCAGAGACTCTTCACCCAGAAACTCTTCTTGCACAGACTTTTCACCGATATACTTTTCACCCAGAGACTCTTCACCCAGAAACTCTTCTTGCACATACTTTTCACCCATATATTTTCACAACCCAGAACGCGTCAACCCAGAGACTCTTCACCCAGAAACTCTTCTTGCACATACTTTCCCCCATATTTTTGACCCAGAGACTCTTCACCCAGAAAACTCTTCTTGCACAGACTTTTCACCGATATACTTTTCACCCAGAAGACTCTTCACCCAGAAACTCTTCTTGCACATACTTTTCACCCATATACTTTTCACCCAGAGACTCTTCACCCAGAGACTCTTCAGTTCCCCAGAAACTCTTCTTGCACATACTTTTCACCCATATACTTTTCACCCAGAGACTCTTCACCCAGAGACTCTTCCCCCCATATACTTTTCACCCAGAGACTCTTCACCCAGAAACTCTTCTTGCACATACTTTTTACTCATATACTTTTGACCCCGAGACTCTTCTCCCAGAAACTCTTCTTGCACAGGCTTTTCACCCATATACTTTTCACCCAGAGACTCTTCACCCAGAAACTCTTCTTGCACATACTTTTCCCCCATATACTTTTCACCCAGAGACTCTTCACCCAGAAACTCTTCTTGCACATACTTTTCACTCATATACTTTTCACCCCGAGACTCTTCTCCCAGAAACTCTTCTTGCACAGGCTTTTCACCCACAGACTCTTCACCCACAGATTTTTTACCCAGAGACTCTTCACCCAGAAACTCTTCTTGCACAGACTTTTCACCCATATACTTTTCACCCAGAGACTCTTCACCCAGAAACTCTTCTTCCACAGACATTTCACCCATATACTTTCCACCCAAAGACTCTTCTTGCACATACTTTTCAACCATATACTTTTCACCCAGAGACTCTTCACCCAGAAACTCTTCTTGCACATACTCTTCACCAATATACTTTTCACCCAGAGACTCTTCACCCAGAAACTCTTCTTGCACATACTTTTCACCCATATACTTTTCACCCAGAAACTCTTCTTGCACATACTTTTCACCCATATACTTGTCACCCAGAGACTCTTCACCCAGAAACCCTTCTTGCACATACTTTTCACCCATATACTTTCCACCCAGAGACTCTTCACCCAGAAACTCTTCTTGCACATAGTTTTCACCCAGAGACTCTTCACCCAGAAACTCTTCTTGCACAGACTTTTCACCCAGAGACTCTTCACCCAGAAACTCTTCTTGCACATACTTCTTTTCACCCACATACTTTTCACCCCTGAGACTCTTCACCCAGAAACTCTTCTTGCACATATTTTTCATCCATATACTGTTCACCCAGAGAATCTTCATCCAGAAACTCTTCTTGCACATACTTTGCACTCATATACTTTTCATCCAGAGACTCTTCATCCAGACACTCTTCTTGTACATTGTACATAGTTTTCACCCAGAGGCTCTTCACCCAGAAACTCTTCTTGCACAGACTCTTCACCCAAAGACTCTTCACCCAGAGACTCTTTACCCACATACTTTTCACCCATATTCTTTTCACCCAGAGACTCTTCACCCAGAAACTTTTCTTGCACATACTTTTCACCCATATACTTTTCACCCAGAGACTCTTCACCCAGAAACTCTTCTTGTGCATACTTTTTTTCACCCACATACTTTCACCCAGAGACTCTTCACCCAGAAACTCTTCTTGCACATACTTTTCACCCATATACTTTCACCCAAACTCTTCTTGCGCATACTTTTTACCCATGTACTTTCACCCAGAGACTCTTCACCCAGAAACCCTTCTTGCACATACTTTTCACCCAGAAACTCTTCTTGCACATATTTTTCACCAATATACGTTTCACCCAGAGACTCTTCACCCAGAAACTCTTCTTGCACATACTTTTCACCCATATACTTGTCACCCAGAGACTCTTCACCCAGAAACTCTTCTTGCACAGATTTTTCACCCATATACTTTTCATCCAGAGACTCTTCATCCAGAAAATCTTCGTGTACATAGTTTTCTTGCACAGACTTTTCACCCAGAGACTCTTTACCCACATACTTTCACCCATATTCTTTTCACCCAGAGACTCTTCACCCAGAAACTCTTCTTGCACATACTTTTCACCCATATACTTTCACCCAGAGACTCTTCACCCAGAAACTCTTCTTGCACAGGCATTTCACCCATATACTTTTCACAAAGAGACTCTTCACCCAGAAACTCTTCTTGCACATACTTTTCACCCATATACTTTTCACCCAGAGACTCTTCACCCAGAAACTCTTCTTGCACATATTGTTAATCCATATACTTTTGACCCAGAGACTCTTCACCCAGAAACTCTTCTTGCACATACTTTTCACCCAGAGACTCTTCATCCACAAACTCTTCTTGTACATAGTTTTCACCCAGAGACTCTTCACCCAGAAACTCTTCTTGCACAGACTCTTCACCCAGAGACTCTTTACCCACATACTTTTCACTCATATTCTTTTCGCCCAGAGACTCCTCACCCAGAAACTCTTCTTGCACAGATTTTTCACCCAGAGACTCTTCACCCAGAAACTCTTCTTGCACATACTTTTCACCCATATACTTTTCACCCAGAGACTCTTCACCAAGAAACTCTTCTTGCACATACTTTTCACCCAGAGACTCTTCACCCAGAAACTCTTCTTGCACAGACTTTTCACCCAGAGACTCTTCAACCAGAAACTCTTCTTGCACATACTTTCAACCCAGAGACTCTTCACCCAGAAACCCTTCTTGCACATACTTTTCACCCAATGTCCTTCTCTCTCCAATCTCCTCTAACTAGCTGGCCCATCTATCTGTCCATTGACTGAGCCCAGAAAACCCCCGAAAACCGGACCTAGGGGGAATCGATACCCACCGTCACTGTTTTTGCCGCCTGGTACATTACCCTGCAAAACCATACTTTGCGCGGTCCTAAAACACCACCTATTTCCGCCATTTTTGACCCGTTTGGCAATACCCCCCCCCCCAGACCCCCTATTCTCACTTCGTTCGCAAATAACAACTAGCCAGCTTCCCGGCTGGCTTTCGTAATATATGTATAGATAGATATGTATACATATATGTATATACATATAGATATATATATATATATATGATATATAATATATATATTAATATATATATATATTAATATATATATTATAATTTTATATATTCTATGCAAAAATGCCAATATTCAGCAAAGTCTATGCAACAAATTGGCCAACTGCAACACTTGGGCAAAATTCAGCGACAAGTCAAGCCATGTCACGCTGAAAAACCATGGAAAACCGCTCAGCAAAGGCCAGCGATGCTCGGGCCTCCAGCAGCACCGTGCAAACGTCCTCATGTCCACCGTGAGCTGCGTACATCAAGGCAGTACTGCCTGGAGAACCGAAACCAACGAAACCAACGAAACCGGTCAAAGTTCAAAGATGTTCAAAGTCTATCCTTTCGATGAGCTCGTTGGCACAGCGTATCCCACGAAAAAACTTTCTCTTTGCTGTGTGGGGCCAATGTGGGCCTTCATAGTTTGCGAGCGACGGATCCGCTCGAATCTTCAGAAGAGCCTGCGAGGAAAAGAAGACAGATGCGAGAGGAGTGCGAAGACCCTGCAAGTTCGGTGTAAAGACGGTATAAAGGTTTCAAGAGTTCGTGGACGACACAGCCAAAGCACAAGTGACAGGAAAGGAGTCAGAAGATGTCAGAAGTATGAGAAGCAATGGGAATTCGCACATACCATCTGGTTATGTAACAGTTTGCCATGGAAAATCACCATGCTATTAATAGGCAAACCATCTATTTCTATGGGCCATCTATACCATGGCTATGTCTGTTAGTCATAACCAGAGGGTAACCCACCCAGGCCCATGTCGTATCTTGTAACGACAGTGTTCAGAACCTCCACGAAGGCCAGGCCACCCCGATGAGAGGCAAAGAGAAGTGGAGTTTCTCCACGAGGATTTCCACAGTTGACATCTGCTCTGGCCTTCCAAAAGCTTCGAAGATCCTACAGAAATAGTTCTTGATTCTGTTGTTTTAGCATTTTTAGCCTTGTTTTAGTGCTCTTCCTTGTTTTCATGATTTTTCATGTCTCATAAAGGCCACCTTCAAATGTGGAGCTCCTTGAAAGCCACGAACATATGGTTTAAGCTATTGCCTCGAGCTGTTGCCTTTTCACAGAATATGAACCAACATGAAAAACAAAGAAAGTAAGGAGGTCTGCAACAGTCACCTTCACAAGCTTCTGCAACAGTCGAACTGCTGACTCCTACTACGAAGGAAGCTTGGGAAATTGATGTGGCAGGGTTTGCCACCACTAGACCTAGCTGATGCAGACCATGCATCCTGGCAGATTTCATATGATTTCATATGATTTCATATGATTTCATATGATTTCATGATTGTTTCAGATGTTTCAGACAGTATCAGTCTTGCATCCAAGTCTGATGAACACTGATGAACATTGATGTGAAGTGAATATGTTTGAAAGACATCTTCAAAGCATCTTGGATATCTGCAGCATCCAAGTGGAACGTCCAAATCATCCAACAAACCCACTGAGAAGTCCTCCTGGTACTTGGCTCTTGCCAACAAGTGCAATGGCAAGTCGCCACCTACAGCAGCACATTTCATGCTGGCATCGGAAGAGCATCGGAAGAGCATCGGAGCATGTGAAGCAGCAGAGCTTGGGAATGCTGCGTTGGAAGCAGCACAGGGTGGCACTTGTCTGAATACCATGCAATCCCAGGACTTTGGCGAATAAAAATTGAGAAAAAAACAATTTACTTAGTATGTCTTAGTATCAGATTCTGTGAGATATCTTTCGCATGCGTCTCTTGGTGCACAGCACCAAGAGACGTCGCCGAAATTGGGGCCAAGTTCAAGCCAAAGGCCCCCGGCGCTCATCTGCGAAGCTGGGACTCGCGCCTGCCTCGATGTTTCAGGATCCAAGGATGCTCCAGGTCCCCCAGAAAAAATACCCTCTGGTTATGACTAACATAGCCATGGTATAGATGGCCCATAGAAATAGATGGTTTAACCTATTAAAAATGGTGATTTTCCATGGCAAACTGTTACATAACCAGAGGGTAGATTTAAAAAAATGCTCGGTTTCACTAAGATTGCACTGCTCAGATGCTGAACAGTTGACAGATGACAGATGACTTCAACTGTCTCCAGCTTCAGGAGATCTAAGCGTTCTACATCAAGGGCGGCTTCTGCAGTCCTGCAATGTCTGCAATCTCGAAAATCCAAGCAAAAACAACAAAAAATGGATTAAATTTCAAGGACTGACAATATCAATGAATGAAGTTGAATGGAATTGAATGGCATACGTGGCATATACGTGGCATATACGTGGCATATACGTGGCATATTTGCCTTGGAAACACTTGGATGTGATATGGAATCGCCATTTCGCTCCTCGCGTCTCGCAAAATGGCCTTGATCAAAGCACGCCCCTGACGTCGAGGCCTCTCCTTAAGCAACAAAATCAAAGAAGGACATATTTCCGGACATATATGATGACATTCAAATCAGGACGATTATTAATGATTATCAATGATTCTCAGGACGCGCCATGTTGTTCGATCAAAAATGATCAAAATATATATATATATATGCCGTTAAAACTGTTGATGCATTTCATGATCAATATATCTGCCTTGTTTTTTTTTAAAAAATGGGGGAGATCATGGGAAGATCATGGGAAGATCATGGGAATCATCGTCAACGTTGACGAAAAATATCTGTGCCTTGGAGTCGATCAAATCCAGCAGCTCAGGAGCCGTTCGGAAGTCCAAGGACTGCCGTCCAGACCGGGAGCTTCGTGTTGTACAAAAGAAATGGTACCACAACAGCTGTGTGGACACAGCATTCTCAGATATTCTACGATATTCTAAGATATTCTCAGCATTCTTTTTGTGTTTTCTTTTTTGATTTGATGTTTTTGTAGCTTCGCTAAAGAGGCTCACACTTTGTTATCAAACACCAACCACTGCAAAGCTTTAAGACAGTAGAGTTCTGGAAGGCAAACGAGCGAAACTGCTGAACAGAGCGGAAAAATATTCAAGCTCAATCTGGAGTTCTCGATGTGATCTTTGTTGACTCGAAATGCAACTTGTGTGTTGAAATCCTTTTGGCCTTGAGACACTTTGAAGAAGTCCATGCTATTCTTTCGTTTCAAATTGAACGGAAAGGTTTCTTCAGGTATGGGGTTTCTAAATCTCAAATGGTTTGCCCCAAGACAGGTCAGATGTGGCACTCGGTGTTTGGATCAAAGTGCCTACGCATCATTTGAGTAAGTATGTGACAGATTCTACAGATTTCAAAAAACGGGTTCTTTCTACCAGGTGCCAGACTGACAAAGTTTGTTCTGCCTGGCTGAGAATGTCCTTGAGTGACTCTCCTTGCAAATCCTGGGCACAGATGTCACTTGTGACTGGGAAGAATCGGAGGAAAATGCGCCACAGCCTTACCATGGTGACACCATGGTGACACCATGTTAATACGGCAACATTTGGCGACCCATAGCAAGCATTCCCATAATCTTCGATCGTCCCATATGATGTTGTTAAACATATATGTCGAAACCGACAAAATTTCAGGGGTCAACCGGTCAACCTACGAAATGTCAACCACCTTGAGCCTCAGCAATCAAAACTTGCTGTGGTAATCTGGTTCCCAAATTCCGAAAGTGGTTTCGGTTTCTGCCAAGTGTCTTGGCACACCACAACACCAGAAAATCTATGAAAATGGTGGAGAAATGTGGAGAAAATGGTTGCATGACATGCCTTCTCTGCCAGCTCAAAGGCACCCGCCTGGCGGGGCTCATAATCAAACCTCCAAACATCCAATGTGAGTTCCGCTTTTTTCATGGCAGCAAAACCATCTTTGTCCTGCAAAAGTCGATATGGGACATGGGCCGACTCCCAGTCGATATCTCCTCCAGGAGCTGCTTGGTCTGGGGTAGGCTGCCCTGGCAGACTGGAACAACTTCAGGTTTATACTGGCCGTGCTGAGCTGTGCCCTGCTGTGTTGTGTCAAACACATGGAGCGCTTAGAGCTCTTAGGAACCACATGGCAAGAATTCCATTGAATTTCAAATATTCGGAGGGCGAGTTTCAAAATTGTCAAGATTCTCAGGGAACTCGTGAATGTCCACGATACGATGCGTGTCTTGTTTCGTGCCTCGAGTGCTGGGAATGTCTGCATTTCCCCATGTCCCACATCATGTCATCAGATCGTTTCAGTCATCATTGAGTAGTCGCACCCGCTTTAGAGCCATTGTCAGAGGTATTCTCCCCAGCCTTGGGACACTCTGAAATCAGAGCAGCATCACACAGATATGACAAAGGACGCATGGATAACTAAGAATCTAACAGGTATGTAACAATCTATCCACAGAGCAGCCACTTGAAACTTGGTTGAAGTGATTTTTCCTTCTGTGGTTCTTACCGATCTTCTTTCCCATAAACGATGCAGTTCTTGGAAAAAAAGTGACTGGTGTGCAGGTCAATTTCTCATTGAACCCAGAAAACTCTTTCAGATGGACAGCAACACACCAAGGCATCTGTGGAATTCTCGGGAATAATTTGCAGATTTAAGGAGATTTTACCTAAATGCCAGGCAATAAGAAGGGGTCACCAGAATCGTGTCAAAGCCTCAGATTCTCAGAGTTTCTTTACAAATATTTACAGATATAAGATTGAATAAGACAAGATCGAAAGGACAGTGCGAGCAAGGCACGAAGCCTTCCCTTCAAACCGGTTGGCTCGTAAAGACACAAGGCTGGAGAATGATCCAAGACGGTCCAAGATGATCCAAGGCCAAGGTCAACCCAAGGTCAGCACGCATCCTTCTGTCCAACATCAGCTTGAGCCTCAGAGGTGAGACCAGTGATGATCAGTGACCTGTGCTGTCGAGCTCTCAGTCGGTGTCGGCACCTTGAGAAGCAACTCCAGCATGTCGGGGGAGCCATTGAGTATGGCAGAATGAATGGGACGGAGCCCTGGCCCGACGGCACAAGTGCATGGCAATGCAAACATTCCACGGCCAACCCCTGGAGACCGCTGACCATGCTGACCATCCGACCAGCCTTCATCTCCCACGGGAGAATCCACGATGTCATCTCCTAGGAGCTTAAAAACCTCACAGGAAAACTCCTCAAAACATCAAACTGTTCGTCAAATCTACTGCTTCAAACATCAAAGGACAACGACACAAAACTGGAGTGAAACCCATCAAGTCCCATCAAGTCTCACCTGCAGAAAGTCGCCATTTAGGATGGCCTGCACCAGGTCAGTGGACGAAAGTATCAGGTGCAACGCGGTAGTGTTCCTGTCTCTCTGTCCGCACAAATTGGCTGCGCTCCTCATGAAGCTTCTTTCCCCGGTTCCAATCGCCTTGGGAGTGGTGAAAAAAACAGTTGCGCGTTTCTAGTTGCAATGGGTTGCAGTCTTGGCTTTGTGCGCGAAGCGCGAAGCACGAAGCACGGAAGTGTTTGTTGCAGTTTCAAATTGAAAGGATGAGGAGGGCAGATTGGGATTGGGACAGAGAAAGACCCAAATTAAAGTCTTGGTGCCGGGATGAAACTTTGAGGCCTGATAGTGAAAAGGGTCAAGAACCAGGAATTTCACAACCCTGTCCCCCTTGATTTTGGCTTGAGTCGTTTTGCCCACGCAGGTTGCTATGAAGAAGTCGGAAGTCTTGCGGGACTTCAAGAGCACTCTCACATCTCTCACACAACATAAGGGACGCAAAGAATATCACTGCAACTTTTCGCTGTCTAACAGCATTGAAGGAAAAAAAAGGCAATGGGAATCGGAAGTTGATTTTGTACATTGACAAGTCATGACAATCACTATGACAATATGACAATCAATATGACAATATATCAATATGACAAAAAAGCTGACAATCACAACATCCAAATCATCAGTTCTCTGAGGCGGTCCGCTGGGCTCCGAAGGCTCAGAGCCTCACCCAACAAGAAGCGGATGCCGCTGGCGCAAAAGCAAACGCCGCCAACAGCCGGCCAAATTTTACGATGCCTCCAGAACTGAAGCCATTGAAGCCATTGAAGCCATCGACCTGCAGCACTTTGGGCGCTTTGGGCACTGGGCAAATGGTTCTCGTTTGGGAATTCACGACTTCTGCCTGCTGGTTTGCAGGCCCATAGACTCCAGCCAAGGACGACGGCCATGGATATCTGCAGGTCAACAAATCCATGGTTTCAAGATGCCATGAATTGTAACGATGCGCGCAGCTTGTTACAACTATATTATATATATATATAGGTAATGCTGGTTGTTTATGTTCAGTGCACTGAGTACACTGAGTGCGAGTGTTTCATAACTTGTTTCTCTTTTGGCTTCTCAAACTTGCCCTGCACCTTCGTGCTCTTGGCCCAGCAGTAGCGACTGGAACCTCAGTGAAAGAGCGAGAGGGCGCATGACTAGGGACTACCACGTGTCGAGTTATTAGAAGTTTCTTCTTTTTCCTCAAGCCTCTCTCTTCAGGTCTTCCTTCATATTTCAATCTACTTAATGTAGTCTCTTTATTGACTCAATTTCGGCCTTCCAGGCTTGTTTCGTCATCTGACTTGCGAGTTCAAGTCTCCCTTCTTCCAAAGAACAAGAATCTGAGATCACCCAACTGGCATTACGAATAGCTCCTATGAGTCCCAGTATCTCTCTCCCCTATTCAAGGCTAGTTCAGTCCCTGCAGTTTTAGATTGCTTTGGATCTCCAAAGAGGAAGGGAAATTCAGCCTTTCCAGGCGCCACAGACGCAAGTCATTTGTCAAATATATATATATATGTCTCCCAAGGATCTCCGCACTCTTTTTCAGGAGCGCCTCAGGGCTGCTAGAGTTTGAGGCTAGGAGGGTCCTAAACCTGTACACGCAGCAAAGCCCATTGCCCAGTCAAGACCAGGCCCACAACCTAGGTTGGTGATGGGTGTGAGATCGGGCAAAACCTTCAAGAAGGTATGCCACTGCGGCTCAAGAGCCTCAACATCCCAACACGCCCGGTGAAGCCAACACACCGAAAGCAAGGTGGTGCCCGGGGACGGTTGGGGGGTAGAACCAACAGCTGCGATCAAGGAGACATATCATCGTTGCTCCATTACATGGCAAGCCACTCCATTACGGCCCCACTCATTGCAATGTCTCCCAAGGATCTCCGCACTCTTTTTCAGGAGCGCCTCAGGGCTGCTAGAGTTTGAGGCTAGGAGGGTCCTAAACCTGTACACGCAGCAAAGCCCATTGCCCAGTCAAGACCAGGCCCACAACCTAGGTTGGTGATGGGTGTGAGATCGGGCAAAACCTTCAAGAAGGTATGCCACTGCGGCTCAAGAGCCTCAACATCCAGTGCTCAGAAGCAGGCCAAAAAGAAATACAGCCTCACACTGTTCCAGACCTGCTTCTTTTCTGGCGTAGCCGCACTTGAGAGCAGAAACGTTGACCTTCACGGACACGGCGACGTTGGGCCCTAGTCCAGGTAACATTGGCCAACTGCATTGTTCCTTCATCCACATAGGATTTGGCAGTGCGGGGGCAAGCCCAGCGACCTCTAGCGACCACGGAGTCAATGGACAAGGTATGTTGAAACCACCAAGTAGCACCACCTCGGCGAAGGGCATACGGGGTATAGTCACTGGGGCCAAATCCAGCATCTTCCAGAAGGCGGGAAAACCAAGCGCGGAAGGCATGCGCTCCCTGGGTCCATAACAGACGCTTGGAAGTGGGAGATATAATGGCTCTGGCCATGGCAACCAACTGCGGGTCTTCAACGAAGAGGACCTGAGGATTCCCTTGTGAAGTTTTGCTCCCAGGAAGGATGACACTAAGGCCTGTGTTCCTGGGGTGAAAAACTACATGATGGTGCGTGATAGCCAGGATCTCGGAGGTCCGCAAAAGGCAACAGAAGCCCAAGCCCAAGAGCAGGCCCAGGTTGGATTCCCCGCGTTCGAAAGCGAAGCCCATGAGGGCTTCAACCAGTGCCCAGGATGCCGGCAACGCCCTCTGTGGCACGTAGCATCGTTGCCAGTTCCTTAAGAACTGACTAGACTGCGGGAGGACCAGCCGCAACTGCGGGTGAAACCGCGTCACTGCTGATAGCAGGTGACCCGAGTAGGAGAGAGGCTCTCCTTCTTGAAATGAAACATCAATGAATTCGGCGATTTGGCGGTCCAATTGGCGGGGCTTGGAAATCTTCAAATGCTTTTTGTTGACAAACTTCAGGAAACGGTCTATGGCAGCTCGATAGGCTCGAAGGGTGCGGGGGTGCAGCCCTGCATAGCGCAAACTACGCTTGGGCTTCATGCATTCTGCTGGGTTTATCTGCGAAATTCCAGGCACTGATGGTCCACAAAGGAAAGAGGTAGCCATCAGTGCCCAGTAGGTGGGCTGTACACCGCCGAAGCACCTGGTTCAAGCGCCGTGAGCTGCTGCGACCTTTTGACAAGCATCCACGAGTGACCATGGAGTCCACCACCAGGAAAAACTTGGAACGATGCTTGTCGCTTGTTCGTGCCCGCCGTTTCAAAAACACCGCCACAGTGCCCAGCTCCAATTCGTTGATGTGAGCGGGCTGCTTCCAAGGAAAGGCCAAAATGGTCTTCCAGTGCCATCTCATTGCTAAGTACGGCACCTCATGCAATTGAGGGTCAGATTCCTCCCCCAGCTCCAACACGAGGCGCGCGTCAGAGCCCCGGTAAGATGCTGAACGCAGCAATGACCGCAGATGGGTTCTTTCTTGCCCAGCCACCATTGATAGCTCCAGGCGTGCCAAAAGGGCCGCCACAGCGTCCGCCACCACCTCCGTTGCCAGGCAGACAGTGGCCTGAGAAAGCTCCTGCTGGTAGTACCGTTCCCGCTCTCGGAGGACCATGTGCTCAAAGGTCCCATCCAGATCAATCTGCCTTCTCAGGGCCCGCGCGTAAGCCTTGCAGAGTTGCCAAGGGTACTCCGCCTCCTCCTCAGTGTCGAACCGGAGGGTTCCGTCAGCTCGCTCTTCCACCCCGTAAGGCTGCAGACCGACATGGCCCGGACAATCCTTGTTGAGGAACCCGGGCAAGGTCTCGATGTTTCCCAAAAAGGAAAACCACTTTTTGCGAGACCCTCCAAAGCAGCAGGAAGACCCCACTGAATGTGAGAAGGCCGGATCCTCTTCGAGAGCCTTGGCCAACTGAAACTCCCAGACCCACGAGCCATAGGGGTGCTCCATGGTCCAGTACCGCTTCCCCTTTGCTGAATGGCCCCTCTTGATGGCTTTCAGAACCATGTTGTTTGACTGCCGCACCCGGGCTTTCATCTCCGTGCTCAGCCAGGGGAAACCCATCAAGTGCCGGTGGTCTCGGACTGGTTGTGGCCCGGCTACTTCCCGTCCGCTGGGCAGCACAATCGGCTTCCCCCTGGCTTTGGAGAACAGCCGACACTCCGGCGCCCAATGCTCCGCCTCCAAGAACTCATCCTCGCAGAGCCGCTGCAAAGTCTCACGGCCTTCATCTGTGAACATGTTGTGGCCGAAGTGGAGATCATAGGGCTCCTGTACCTCAATATGCCCTTCCATAGCTACCGCATGGGACAACGGAGCTCTTCTGCCCGCGAATCTCTCACCAAACCGTGGAGGGCGCCAAGTTCGCCGCGGGCACTCACGATGGGCCTCATGATCCACGTCCCGGTGTTCCATGACACAGGCCAAAGAGCAGAACGCCCCGCCACAGTCTGTGGGGCAGGGGTAACGGTCCTCCTGGCCCAAGCGTTTTCCGCACTCATAACAGCGGTCCCCCGTCACATCCAAGGTCTGAGGCGGCCGCCGGAACTCAGTAGCTACCGCTGCTCCGCCACCGGTTGGCGACGCATCAGTCACCGCAATCTCTCCATCAATCGGTGCCTTCAAGTTGGTCACCATGCAGGGCACCAGGGACATGACCATCGCTATCTCTTGAATCACCTCGGCAGGGGGACGCTCAGATGCGGAGCCCCCCGACAGTTCCTGAATCTCGTGGAACACCTCCTGGAAGACAGAGAAGAGAGGACGCCTAAAGCACATCCCAAAGGTTGCTTTGCCGACGAAGTGCCGCAATAGGAACTCTCCCCACTGCTGTTGACCCAAGAGCGCACTGCCAAGCCCTACCAGCCCGGCCATCTTCTCACGGGCCAAGCCGTAGCGACCACGCTCGCCATCAAGCTCACCTCCTTGGAGGGTGCCCTGCGTGGATGATACCAAGCGCTTGGCCTTGTTGGGCGGCAGGCCTTTTTCTTGACACACCTTCAGGAAGGCTTGATGCCTTCGAGAGCTGCCCTCCTTCAAGACGCCTGCACATCCTTTGTCCAGCCTCCTCAACTGGTCGAAGGAATCCAAATAGATCACCGTGAGGTCATCGTCCTCGGGGATCGGCTTGGTCTTTGCGATCTCGGACGAAACCGGCACGCCAGCCTCAGAGAAAACCAGAGTTCTCACGATGGCCTGAATGACCGATACCGAACTCAGCCACCCCATGGGGAGAACATTCATGGCGGGGTAAACCATCTTTCCTGGGGGCCCACCGAAGACCTTGGCATCGACTAACTTCCCAAAGGCCATAAACCGGTTCCAACACGGCGGCAACCGAAACAAATTGAAGCATGAAGTGAAGTCTTCCGAGTCCACATACCAAATCTCTGACTCGTCCTGCTCCAACAAGGTCAACTGACCCAAATAAGGGAGAAGGCGGTCGTCGCCCTCGATGTGCTCCTGGAACATGTTGGAGGGGATCAGGTTTGAGATAAAACGCTGGAGAACCTTGGTCTCTCCCCCCACCGTCTTCAGTTTCTTCACTCCTCCAGCCCCGTTGAGGACTGGGTGACCGTTGGCGTCCTTAAACACCTCATCAGGCTCAACCATCACCATCAAGCCTCGTGCGTGGCCGGCTGCAACTATCTTCTCCCACTCTTCCGCACTTGCCCTGACTTTGGACACTGCCGGCTTGGAAGGCCACTCATGTAGCTGCTTGAGACAGCTAGTGGGGTTCAAAAGGCTCTTCTTGATGTGGTCCGGCACAAAGTCAACCGCGTCCTGAATCGCAGCCTCCCCCACTTGCGGCCATGCAGCAATGACTCGCTCGGCCACAAGATCCTCCAGAGGAACAACAGGGTCCCCTGCGTAATCAAACCTTGCCCCGGCCAGGGCCTGGGAGGACTCCCCTATCTCGGGGGTGAGTACATCACTCTGGTCCAAGTGCTCCACAAGGTCCACTAGATGCATCACACAAGCCCTTTGCGACTGAGTGAGTTCCCTTTCTTCAAAGCGGTCAGGAAAGGAAGCACCCCCTGCATAGAGTGCCAGGTAGTTCAGGGTGTTGATCATCCCATTCACCGAATCGGCTATTGTACCATTCTTCTCCAAGAGGAAAGTGGCCACAGCTCTAGTGCAGATGGGAAACAGATCATCCCCTCGCTGCTGAGATCGAGGCTCTGCCCCGGGAGGCGCTCCTTCATGGTGTGAAAAACGTGCGAGTAGTCCCATTCTGCACGGCAACTTGGGGAGCTGACGCCACAGTCTTGCCAAGACCTCCACTGGTCTCATCTCAGAGCTTGCACACTCACGCCATATGGCGGTCCAACTAGCCCAAGGGGCAGCCGCTTTATTTTCCTCACCCGTCCTCACGGGGTCATGTCCTTCTTGTCGGGCTCTTTTCCTTTTCCTTTTCCTTTCTCGCGACCTTTCTTTCCTCCTTTGTCTTGATTCCCGCGCCCGTCTAGGCGTGGGGCCTTGGGTTGGCGGTCGTAGCTCTTCAGCTTTTGATCCAGTAGATACTGGTTCGAGGTGTAGACCTCCTCCGCCCTGTCCAGAAGGGTCGCTGATTCCGGACTGAGCAACTCTAGGAATTGTGCGGAGCCCCAGTGACCGTCCACCGAGGCCTTCTGAAGCGCCTTGACTCTTTGCGCCAGAAGGTCTGCCGCCTGTGCGGGTTTCATCTGCGCCAGCATGTCGATCGCCGTGCAGATTGTCCTCAGCTCTCTTTGCGTTCGAAGGTTTGCCTTGCCCCCCAACTGCGGGATCATCACCGTCAGCAGGTAATGTACTGCAGCAGGAGGAGTAGGACTCACCTCGTTGATGGCCACCCCCACCGACCCGTGGGCAGACTCCTGCACCATCTTGTGGAGCATGCGAGCCGCGAGCCTGCCCGGCTTCTTCCGTGCGTAGCTGAATTGGCCGCTGGCCTTTCGATCGGCAGGGGCGTCTTGAAAAGACTCACTATCAGAGTCCGACTGAGTTGGAAACCGAAGGGCTTCTCCACCTCCAAAGTGTCCTCGGTCCTTCTTAGCGCCCTTCTCACGTTCAGGCTTCATGGCCGTGACATCTTCTCCAAAGAGCCGCTCCTCCTTGGAATCCTCAGACGACTCATCCTCTTTGGACTTGGAGGAGGAACGGTCCTCACCCTTCTTCTTTCTCTTCTTCTTTTTCTCCTCACGGTGCCTTGACGCACTCCTCCTCCTTCTCTTGCGATCATCTCTCCGACCTCTTTCATCTCCGCCTGAAGCGGGTGAGCGCGACTTCCTCCGTCGAGGCTTGGGTTTGTCCTTCTTCTTAGGCTTCCCCTCAGCTACCGGCTTCACCGTGCCCTTGTCCTTCGCGCGCTGCTTCTTAGCAGCCTCTTCCAAAGTCTTGAGGTCCTCCTGTGCCTTCTTCAACTTTGCTTTCAGGCCAGGAGACAACGAGCGAGTGCGTGACCTGGTGCAGTCATCCTCTTCCTCACCTGACTTGCCAGGGTAACAGTCCTTTCTCACCGCCAGGGGCGGGTCCCAAGTCTGCTTTCTTGAGGTAGTCCAGGAAGGACTTCTTGCAAGGTCCAGTGAAAGCCCACCCAGGGACCTTCTGATCTATCTCCTTCTGAGTCAGCTCCCGGAACTTCTCAAGGTGCATGAACTGCCCCCGGCGCGTCACGTCACAGTCCATGGAATTCTCCTCGCAAAGGTGAAAGTAACCTTTCTTTGCTAAGCGCTGGCCTTCACCCTCTGTCATCCACCAACGCAGATGCTGGTCTGAGGCAGTCACATAGGATGCCAGGATCCAATGCCCCTTGGTATCGGTGCTCTCGTGCTTGATCACCTCCAGGATGATAGTCCCTTGGCTGCGTCCTCCGTCATCTCGGACTGCCGCCTCCAGCACCTGCTTGGGCCGGAATTTGAACTTGAACCATCTTGACCGGTCCACTCCCCCAGACAGCCACATGCTGTCTGGGGGGTAAGGGTTGCTGTAGAACCAACAGCTGCGATCAAGGAGACATATCATCGTTGCTCCATTACATGGCAAGCCACTCCATTACGGCCCCACTCATTGCAATATATATTGAAACATATTGAAACATGGTTGAAACAGTTGAAACCCCTACATCACAACAATTCACAACATCCCTAACAGCATCCCAGCCTTGGGCCGAAGGTGTGTTTCTTTGTCCGGTTTCCGTGCACAAACCTCGCTTGGCTGCTTGTCAGAGAGGCTCTTCACCCAGCTATCAATCAACCGCAAAAAATAAAAAGCAACACCATCTGAAGAGTATGCGCTCATATGTGCTCTACCCTTTGTCAACTTTGTCAATAAGAAATAAGGAGGAGAGTTGCTCCACGTGAAAATGTTTAACCATGACATTTTCAACATGTTTGGGACAACTTTGGAAATCTTTGGAACAACCAACGGCAACCAATGACAATGCAGACTGTCCAGCAAGGCTGAGACTTTGGTTGCAGCTTTTCGCGGCGCGCTCGACAGCCTTTGCCTTGGAGCTGCGACATCGAAGACATCAAAGACTCTAAGTAGACTCCAAGTCGAGGAAAAAAGTGAATACTGTATTATCTGTATTATCTGTATCTCATTTCTTTTTGATCTGCAGTGCAGGGTCTTTCTCTTTCGCCGAAAATGATGATTTATGATGATTTATGATATTGATATATCTGCTTGGTTTCTCCGAGTGCCCTGTTCGTGCGGCAAAAGTCTTGGTGTCTGGAAACAAATCTGACATCCGCACGGTCACAGATTCACCCATATGCCTAGCTGGGCGTACCGAAATGGCCGGAGAGGATCGTACCAAAACTGCTTCGCTCCGCCGGGCCTTGGTGTCAAAATGTCTTGCGAAATTGTACGAAGGAAAATGAAAAATCAGTGCATCTAAATTCAGATCATTTATAAGTTCATGGCATATAAGTTCATACTTCTGAAATCTTCTGAATCTGTTCTCTAAATGTTCTCTAAATATCTCTAAATGTTCTTTTAACATCTGTTAACCACAAGGAACCATCCATTTGTTCGTGCCATCTGCCCCGAATCGCGTCCCCAGGGACTGGGTCTTGTCGGCAGCTGCATGCCACCTGCGCGAATGCGAATGCGTAAATGTTTGATAATGTGTGTATTTGTGTGTTGTTGATATGGCAGTGTGTCAAAACCTTGTACCCCTGGTGAACATCAAAATAGCTGGTAAATGGATGTTCATCCCACTAAAAATGGTGTTAATAGGTATTGATCCATACCCATATTATTATATTTCTTGATCCTGTTATCTTTGCTGTTGCTTTTGTGAAATGTCGATATCTCAAGGCTAAAGATATCACTGCTTTTCGTCTTGCAGTTCTTTGGTTTTCTGCTGGTTGCCTGTTGATATACGGAACGGTTTCCAGACCCAAGCCACATGACAGCTCGCTGCCAGCCAACAACTCTGCAGACAAAGTAAGTTAGACAGAAGAATGACATGTGCCTTCAGTTGTTTTGACATCATAGAAAAGATGTATAGCCAACTGTATAGCTGTTAACAATCCTGTAGATCCTGTAGATAAAGACATACAGTATCATACGGTACTCCTTCAGGTCAAGACTTAAACATGGAATGCTATGGTGAAATGTTGAACAATCGGTGTCGGAAAAAGCGGAGCGTTGTTTGTATTCACCTCCGAGGGATTTTTTTTAGTTTAGACTGATGGGATGGCAATGGAAATCGGAGGGGATAATGATTAATGCATCTATCATCTATATATATATATACCACCAAGAAATTAGAACCACCAAACATCCAACACTAAACATCCACGAAAGGTGGAAGGTGCGGATGCAGACAGATCAGTCTCAAGGAAGATTCAGCTGTCTAAAAACTTAAGGCATGTGATTCATCTGTTTCATGTTAAACAGATCGGAAATATCCAAAGAAATTCCAAAGATCTTCGAACCCCGGCCGGAACCTGTTCAAGGCGTTCAGCAACAAACGGCTGCCCAAGCCCTTCTGGAAAAACCAGGCGACCTGGGGATCTGGTGCCCCAGTAACTACCTGGTGAAGTGTTTCTAAGGCAACTCTTGCAACTTCACAATTCATGAACTGACAAGTCCATGCCCATCAGCTACTCATATTCTTTTGCAAAACCCATCATCACAGAAGCAGTACAGGCTTGGTTTCAAAGCATTTGCTTCGAAAGATTTAATGTGCGTCATTCATCGTCATTCCCTGCATCCATGGTTTGTGCTTATTCAGTGATCGCTACAATCTGAGATTTGTACCTCTGAAGCAACCTCCGTGCGCGGATCATCGAACTGCACCTTCAAACTTCTCCAAACTTCCACACAGTTTTCGGCTGAAGTTGACTAAGGAAATGTCATAAATGCAAATGATGCGAGGATTTTGCACTTTCAATTTTGACAATATTTTTACTATCTCATAAACATCATAAACAAAACGAGAGAGCGGTATGAAAGCCATAAATTGACAGTTGAAACATGTTGAAACCTTCAGAGCGCTCAAAGCTCGAAATCGCCTGAATCTCCGGAGAGACACCCGGCTCAAAGCGGAAAATGCGGAGCACGGCTTGCCATGAGCCTTCGACTGTCTCCTGTGCAGCACAGCACGTAGCTCTACCAATCTGTATCAATCTGTACGCAAAGCATGTGAGGATGCGGTACCATGGTGAAACATGGGTACCGTGGTACTGTTGAACTCCGTCCTTATCAATTTCAAAAGTCTCACTTTAGGATGCTTGAGGAATGAGAGTAAGGATAGAGATGATAGAGCAGCAAGCAACACAGCCCGAAAGATTCTAACGCGAATTTCTTGGATAGAACCGGTAGAACCGGTAGAACGGTAGAGCTGAGAAGTGCACGATGTCGTAAAAGCGAGTGGCCTTCCCACACACAAACAATGGGTCTGAGTGCCCTAAAGGCCAGAAAGGATGGTTTCTCGGAGACTTAGCGACTTAGAGACACCAAATTTCTGGGAAGTTGAGAGAGGCAACTCTGCACTTTGGTGAAAACTCCAAGCTCCGCATGCTCCGCCTTGATGATGTCAAGTTGCGCACCAATATCAAGGTCAAATTGAAGTACTGCCTCCAAGCTATTCCAAGCTGTCAAAGTGCCAGTACTGCCACAACAAAGTTGCGAAACTGGCGCCGCTGCGCCTTTCCCTTGCGTCCACATAGGCCTGCTTCGCCACTAACTTCCACACGGGACAGGTGTACCTGTGACAGATTGTGACAGAGAGGAGGCTCAGATGTCGTTCCACGACATAGCAAGACATAGCAAGACATCAGCTGTTTCTAAAGTTCAAATACAGTAGATCTCTAAAGCATCCTCAGGCCTCATAAGAAGACCATGGTGTCTGAACTGGCCCGTGTAAATCCTGAAGACAAAAGCTGACAAAGGTTGAAGCCAAGACAGAGCAGAAAAGTGAAAGCCAAGTCCGTCCTTCAAAGCAGAAGACAAGTATTCAGGTAGAGACTCTTTGGCCCAAGTTGAAAGATCCTTTTCCTGGAGCGGAGCGTGCGGAGCGTAGTACAGCTCTAAAACAGGCTGACTCGGGTCATGTGTCATGTGTCGTGACTCTGTGACTCCGTGACTCCGCCTGCCACTCCATGGCCACAAGACGATCAAGACATATCAAGACGCCAAGATGTTGGCAACTCTTCAAAGCGAAGGGAATCCGAAGGGAATCCACCATGGACATGTTATAAATGTTATAAATTATAAATGTTACAGTCAATGCTGAAATAATGCTTTGCTTTCTGGGCGTGACAACTTTCCCTCGATTCTCCATGACTTTCTACCCAATGCTTTCAGAATCTTTCAGAAGCAAAATATTCTGCCAAATTCATTCCATGACACCCACAATCCTGTGATTTCCAATGAGGCTTAGCTTTAGCACTGAAATTGACTCACATGAAGTCCGATTGAAGTCCAAATGATCTTTACCAAGTCTTGTCTCTTGATACTCGAATAGCGAAGCTGTGGGCCATAGATCCGCAAATTTCCGCAAGTGAAGTGGATCCGAAGACACATGATGACAATGATGTGCCTCTGCTCACCATTTCGACAGCGAAATGGTTTTTGTGTTTTTTTGTTCGATGTCAGTCGAAACAATCGACAGTGTCGATAGGTGTCGATAGTCAATCTTTTCTGCCGCAACATGCCATCGAAAACTGGTGCGTGCTCCGTCCAAGAGTCCGCAAGACTCAGAGACGTCGTTCCAATCTGGGGCGGCTACCTGGAAATTGAAGCTCTTTGGAACTTGGAAAAAGCCCCTATCTTGATTAAAGAAAGACGAATGCAATACAATATACAAGTATGACCAAGTATGATTGCTTCAAGTATGATTCAAGTATGATTCGTCATCTTTTACACAACTTTACACCTATATCACCTATCAATGTTCCTTGGTATGTTCCTTGGTATGTTCCTCTGTTCTCCACCATTTCGTCAAATCGAAAGATCCAGCCATGGCACCTCCGTACGCAATGTTGTTCCTGACATAGGCCTGGCTCACCTCCGATGTGCCAAATGTCCAGAGACAATGTCGCTGTGCAACGAAGATGTGCATAATATGTGCATAATATGTGCATAATATGTGCCATAAACATCCATGAAGTATCAACGGTTTTATTCACAAAGTTCTTCGTTGACATCATTTTGACATATTTTGACCGTATTGCAAGCCAAAGCACATTGATTCCGCTGTTTCGGACTGTGGCGATGATTCCTCCAAGCGCACTTGGCCTCAGTCTATTGAGTTTTGGCTGCCGCCAGATGCGACCTGATTGACTTGACTCTTGAGATCTCTTGAGTATTGTAAACTAAACCTGATGCGACCTGATGCGCCGGTGTGAACATGTGTGAAGCCGCTGAGCTGAAACTGAGTTCCGAGCGTTCCTTTGATTTGGAGGATAAGAGATTGCACGCCCAATTTGTCTGCCACATACAAAGCGGCCTCGAGCAGACTCAAGAACAAAGTAATGACAAATGGAAACCGTTCTTACATCAGACGAGGCTTGACAATTTGAACTAATTTGATCATGCGTATATATCATAATCACTTATCTATTATAATCTTCCGAGGTAGCAGGGGATTTTGAAGAGTACATGATAGGATCATGATAGGTACATATCGAGGGCGAAGCGCACAAGTCTTGATCTGAATACAACTTTGTCTCCATGAACCTCGCAAACAGATTTGAAATTTCACCCAATGCCTCGACGGCCCGATTTGCATTTGGTAGCAAAACACCTCAGAACAAAGCGATTGAAGATAATCGAAGGCAAGATAAGGCAAGCTAGCAAGAATTTGCGGTTCCTCTTCCCGATCAAAGCAACAGCTTCCACTAGACTGAAGAGGCTGCCGTAGCGTTTTTCTGTAGTGGCCCAAACCACCTGCAAACTGCAGCAAACTCGCAAGAGTGATCCTGTGTTTTTTCGTGTCTGTGCGTCAGAGTTATTATGACAAGTGCAGGCTCCAAGCCAATCTTTAGTGCCATGTTTTCTTCCAGAAAGGTCACGATGCTTTGGTGTTTTGTCCAGGCTGCCATGGAACTGAAAATGGAAAGCATGAACTGTTTCAAAACTTGCGAACACATTGCAGTGCCTCAGACAAACTTTGGCATATTATGGGCACATTGCATTTCATGTGTGGTCCTTGCCTCCCCTTTCTTGTCGCAGAGAGCCACATGGGTGTTGTTTTTGCTCTTTCGCACGGTCATCATCTCAGCTCTCAGTGGCTGTAGACTTGTTGAAAATTGTGATAACACAGGGGAATAAGGGGGGTTCCACAGATCATAAATGGGGGTATCCCTGAATCACCCATTTTAATAGGATTTCCACTATAAACCATCCAGCTAATGGGGATTCCCTATGGAAACCATATGTTAACAGGTCACAAGACTATTGTCAAGACTGTCAAGTTTCTGTCACTGTCGAGGCTACGACTGCTCCGCCTTCCAACCTTTCGTGTAAAACGATCAAATCTGTCGAAAATGACCTGCTGAATCTGCTGAATCAGCCATCTCAGGAACCTAAATTGGAGGTACCTACCATATATAAGGCTCCTAAATTGGAATGACCTGCTGAATCTGCTGATGACTGCTGTTTTGTGACCGCTATGACGACCTGCAAAAGACCGGTACCTGGAGGACTTCGAGATCGACTTATTCTTCTTCACCGCCTCTAGGCTAATTCGGCCTCCTTGCAATGATGCCAATGATGCCAATTATGTCAATGACATGAATAGAATATGAATGTGACTTGATGACTTGATGACTTGATGACTTGATGACTTGATGACTCGAACATGACCGAATATGACACAGGTCACGAAGCATCACGAAGCGCTGAATTGAAACTCTCCGGGTCGAAGAGGTGAACAACATCTGTGTATAACTGCGTCATACCGAATCACACCCCCATCTCTGCTGAGTGACGTCGTCGCAATGCCAGGACGCCACTTGTGGCAGCCTTAGGGTCAGCCACGCTACGCCGCTACGCAATCCGAAGCACCGAACCTCGCGCTTCGGCCATGAGGAGCCGGCAACGGCACTCATGACGCCAAAGCCCCAGCGTGCCTCACGGGAAACATTGCAAACGAATAAATCAAAATCTATTAAGAATAAGATCGAACAAGATCCAGCAAGATCGAACAAGATCGAACAAAATGTCAATGTAACATAATGGAACTTAAGATGTAGTAAGGTCTAATAGGATACAAAGTACCCAAGGCTCTTGTCTAAACACTTCAAATTTGACTAATTGGCGACCACAGACTATCCTTGGCCTCGGAAGCTCCAATCGGTTCATTTCTCAGTCTCTGAACCTCAAGCAATGGCATCAGTGATGTACCCTCTGGTAAACTAACATAGCTATTGAAAATGGCCATTTATAGTGGATTTTCCCACTAAAAATGGTGATTTTCCATAGCTATGTTAAAATACCAGAGGGTAAGTTTCGGGATGCCTTACAGGCTCGAAACGGCCTGAAGCTTTGCCCGCTGAAATATGCTGAAATCACTCATGGGCAACGTGGCACTCGTGGCACTACATATTTCCGATCTGGAGAGCACCTGCGGAATACTTGGCTGGACTTCAGCGCCTCAGAAATTCACCAGAAACTTGGAGAAAATTCCAGAGGAAACAAATGACTTGACCAAGACTTCACGCAACTCCCCGTCGCTTAAGACACAAATGCAACAGAATTTTGGCACAGATTTTTCACAACTGACAGTGATACCTCGCGGGGCAACAAAGGCATGGCATAGCGGTAGCCTCAGCTGTTGAGAGCTGCGGGTGACGAGAGCTCCTCGTATCTCGTATCTCGTGTGTTGTCAACGCTAGGCACAGGGCACCGCAACAGCCAACCACCGCCTCGCGTAGCGCGGTTTGAAACATTTTGAAACCAGTTTCATAGCTATTTGGTGCAAACATGCGCAACCATGTTTCCAAAAATGCGGAGAGATGAAATCATCCTGCAGAATGCTGTGTCGAGTTCTCTGTGAACTTTAGCACACTAAGTCGCATGCATATTTGCACCGCTCCCAACCTCAAAGGCGGACGAACCGGGCGAACACTGCCCTGGGGGCGTTCGTTTGAAGCGGCGAACACTAAGGTCTTCACCTCGCAAAGGGCGCTGGGAGATCCTTGCCCTTGAACCGAGATATCCCAGATATCCGAGATATCCGAGATGGCCAAGAGATGCCAAGAGATGCCAAGGGATGCCAAGGGCCAAACGCACAGTTCCACTCGAAAAATGCACTTTTTCCACTTGTAGCATTTTTGAAGGACTGATAAAGTGATTTTTCAGAGGATCACTGATATTTGTAAAAAGTCCGTATTTGATTTTCTGACCTGCCCAGTGTTGTCGCCATCAAGCGCTCGGGAAGACTACGAGACTATGAGACTTTGAGGCTAACTTCGCTTCACTTCTTCTTGTCAGAGCCAATGACCTGTTCGTAAAAGTCCATTTTCTTCTGCGCCTTGCAGAAAGTGGCAGAAAAAAATCAGTTCATGAAAAGTCTATACTTTGAGAAGGCAAGAACCCTGATGACAAATGAAATATGATGCAATATGGTTTCAATTTGGCAAAAATATGTTTTAAAAAAAATGTAAAAAAAAAACAATGAAAGGGCAATTGGACAGAAAGTGCCTCTTTATGTCCTCCAGGCGGACGCTGATCACAAATAATCATGGCATGGCGCGTGATCTCCTGGCCGCGTCGAGCAGCACATCCACAGCTCGTCCCTCAGAACTCGTCCCTCAGAGCTCGTCCTCTCGTGGCTCTCTTTTGGGTTTCTCCTCCGTCTCTGGCATCTGACCTGAACATCCAAGAAATCCAAGAAATCCAAGAAATCCAAGAACCAAGATTCAGGTTACACATGGTTACACATGGTTACACATGGTTACACATGGTTACACATGGTTACACATGGTTACACGGAGTACATTCAAATAGACCCAGACTTTCACTCGGACTTCCCTACAAATGCCATGCAAACTGGACCTTTTAGCCTTTCCACCTTTCAGACTTTCACAAAACTTCAGAAATGGTTTTTGGTCATGATCGGCAACGGAGAATGAAGCATTTTTGCCAGGAGACCATTTGCTTCAAATCTGTTCGCCCAATTTCAACAAGCTCCCGGGTTCCCTGCCAGCTCAGCTTCGCTGCTTTGATACGTACAGCTTTGCTTTGGCCAATGGCTGCAGATTCTGAATTTTGCAGGACGGTTTTGTCTTTGAAGTTGAACTTTGCAACATTTTGCAACCATAGACTAAAGAGAGGATAAAAAAAACACGTCGTATTGGCATCGCCAGGAGAATAGGCAAAAGCAACGCAGCGAAAAATGGGATCAAGGCAGGTTCTGTATTTTTATCTCTGCTGATGTCCATGTGAAGTTCCAAGCTCTTTGCTTGGCAAAAAAGCTGGTTCTTCACTCACAATCACCTTATGTACAAACGTAGCGGCGGTTTGTTGTGGAGCTACTTGGATCCTCTATAGTCAACGTCGGTAACTGAAACTATGCTCGAAGCCCTTTAACAACTTTAACAGACAGCTTCTAAGAGCAAAAACCTTTCAGACTCGTGGCAATTACGACAGGAAAATGGATAGAAGCTACAAGAACTGTCTGCCAATTGGCTCAGCGTCAATCGCCATTTTCAGCCAACCAGGCCACAGCACTTTCAACCTTGGAAACATGCCCAAGCCGGAGAAGATCAACGGGCTGAAGGGTAACCTGAGAGCCCCTACTGAGGAGCAGCGCTTCGCAGCTTCTTTGGCAAGCTTGGAAGGGAAGCCCAGTCTGAACGTGGAGAAAACTTAACGTGGAGATTCTCCCTGACGAAAACTAACAGATCGTGTTTCCCCTGTTCTTTCGCTGGTGTTTTTAGACTTGCAAACGCAATCCACAAAGAGTGCCGCCAAGAAACTCCAGCAGCTGAATCAGCAGTCCTGGCTACGACAACGACTTTTTCGCACAAGCACACTGTTTTGAAGGGCTGTGGACCACCCGCTTTTTGGGGATATCAAGGTATCCACAAAAAGTGTTTGCCCACGCTTCCGACTCCCATTGAATCTAAACGGCCGTTCACAGAAATACTCTCCGCGCAAGACATGCGTATGAAGATGTATGAAGATGTATGAAGATGTATGAAGTCTTCAAACCAGAAAGAAGGCGGACTTAAAAAGGTTCACATGAGAAGTTGCAGCTGAGTTCTGTCACATAGAAATATGCTTATACAATATAATATCAAATAAGAAAATATAACACAACATAATATAATATAAGATAATATAATGTTTTGAGGATGGTTTTTTTCTGTATTGATGGCATACAAATTAACTTTTACCGGATCCATCAATCCGTGACCTCCTGTAATATCAGATAATATGATATAAAAGTAAGATAATATAATATAATATAATATAATATAATATATAACATTGTGTGTATATATATAATATTATGTATAAGTAGTAAGTAATTATATTATAGGGAATTACATTATAACATAATATATGTGTATATCATGTATGTCTTAACATGTTATGTCATTTTTAACGTTTGAAACACCGGTGTCTCGCACCTCTGTCACCCTCGTAGCCTTGACTGCTTTGCTGACCTCAGGCTACGAAATTCACTCGGTTTGCTTCGGTTTGCTTCGCGGTTTGCTTCGCGGTTTGCCGCTAAACATATTCCAAGAGCATGCCAGGAGCTGAAAATGTCACGGGAGCAGATAATAGAATATGTATTCAGCTTTGAATCCATAGAATGTAATAGAATGAAATTATAGGAAATTGGCGTTTGATATGTTGTTTAGAACTGTTCTGGCCACAAAGTAAGACCACAGGTCCAGGAAAAATCTCACGATCCTGTCCTGCAGATGCCTTCCTATTGACTTAAAATGACTTAAGTAAGTCTTGCAAGGCAACGTCATGCCTGACTGGGCACAACTATTCAGTTTGAAAATCACTGAAGTCTAGTGCCGCTACGCCGGCGTCTCAAGAATACTTCCTGCTTCCATTTCCGTTTTGGGGTAGTTTGGCCAACGGTTCTGCTTGCAGTCTCTTTGTGAAGTCCTCAACTGTCTGTCACTTTTCCTCAAAGTCTAATTCGTCATTAATCGTTGAATATTTCTGTGACAATTCGTTGAGAGATTTCTTATGATTTCTTTGAGATTCCAATGATTCGAATGATTCGAAATTCGTTGGAGTTTCGAATTTCAAGCCGAAGATCCGGCGTCACATCCAAGCGCTTGTCGTCCAGCCAACTCTCGTAGCGCACGGCCAGCTGCAGCCGCTGCGGCCTAGCGGAGTTTAATCGGGAACAAAGGGAGCAACGAAAAGATCCATTGCACTGGGATACACTGGGGCACTGAACATCTTGATCATCTTGATCATCTTGGATCATCTTGGATCATCTTGGATCATCTTGACAAAAGTCAGTAAGTGTATCCAATCTGACAGAATCTCACAGAATGTGACGAAGAGGTACAGATTTTATCTGTAAATTTCTGCGTCAAATAATTCCTGCCTCGACTTCGGGCGAGACGGCTTTGAGACGTGGAAAACCCGTGGGCTCTGGAGCTCTCAGCTTCTTGGCAAACGAGTCCAAGGCCTGGAATTCCGAAGACTTTCGGAAGCAAATCAAATCCCATACCATAGGATCCATGGTGCTGCTATATATGGTGCTCCATGGATCCCATCAATATACCCCCTTTATGTTAGTATACCAGCACCATGGATCCTATGGGAATGGAGAATTTTTGATCAATTTCTCAAAGCTGAACTGGAAATTGATGGAAATTCTCTCGAATTGTCACTCGAATTGTCCTGTTTCATCGCACCATTCGGCCAGTGGGAACAAAATACTGAGATGCCGATATGTCACAGCTGGCACCTCAGCAGTTTCCTGCACCGATCGCAGGCGATTGTCACTTCACAATAAAAGTCGACTGGTTTCCGGACCAAAGTCGTCTGGTCAGCCGTCCAGCCGTCAATACTTTTGGGATTTATAAATTCGGGGCAAAGGATCCATTTCTGTCCCGTGGCGTCCAATTTTTTCTCCTTCGCCATCTGCGTGCTACGCTTCAAGGTCCACTCCACTGCCTCCTCAAAGAGGGGATATCTTGACGCTCCAGCGAGAAGTTTGCAGTTGAAAAGAGGACTCAACAACAAACAACTCTGTCAAAACTGTCAAAACTGTCAAACAACCAAAGCCAAAAAGTCAAACTCTGAAATTTTACCGCAAACGGAAAACCTAATTATGGGATTCATTCGGCAAAATGCTGCAGCAGGGCTTAAAACGGTTCGGAACTCCCCAGAATCCTTTTACAATCCATCCCAATCCATCTCAGCAATTTATCTCAAGATCAGCGTGAAGACAGCCTCCGCAGAGGAGAATTGTGCAGCCGCCTCTTCAGCAATGTCCTCCATAGAGCGTGTTTTGAAACGAGAAACCGGAGAGATTTGGAGAAACGTGAGAAACCTGATTTGAGACAGAAATGGATGGAAATATGAAATTTTGTTGGAAATGGATGAAACTGGTGTCAAGCACTGACTACATTCGTTGTGCCCGAACCATCGCAGAATTCAATAGCTGCTGCGACACTTTTCTTGCGGCAAAGACTGTCAAGCATACCTGGCTGAAGCCCATCGCCACCAGTTGCGAGGCAACGTCCTCAGGGAAAACAAAGACACATGGCACCAAAGATCTCCAAAGTTGTTTAGAGCGTTTTAGTATGTTTTACCCTCTGGGAATTTAACATAGCCATTGTAAATGGCCATTTATAGTGGATTTACCCATTAAACATGGTGATTTTCCATAGTTATGTTAGTTTACCAGAGGGAAGTTTTGCCAGAGGTCACTCTGAGCACCTGACGCTGTCTGGAAACCTGGGCCCTGCACTGCCCGCTGCCTGTGCCTGCGCTGACTTTGCATGACTTTGCTTTGACTCACCTCTCGCATCCTCCATGGTTTTTGGCTCACGTTCACGGAAAACGGAAAGCTGTTCATCATTTTTAATCCCATAAAGACATGGCCTTCTTAGCTGGCGAACGGGTAGGTGGCGGTGACAGGGGCTCCTGGGCAATGCCAAAGTCAAGCAGCTCTTCATTCTCAGTGTGAGCAATGTGTCTTTTCGCGATATGGGAAACAGGTGAAAACAGGCCATAGAAGAGTCAAGTGTCGAACCAAAAACATGAAGTGAATAAAAAGTATTGGACAATTATCAGACAGTTCGGTCAGGGACAGGAGAGAAGAATCTCCATTCTCCAAGTTGTTCTGTGCTTCCGCCGGCTTTTCCGCATTGGCTGACGGGTGGAGGATGGTAATCGATCCCCCATCTGAGACTATGGGCTATGTACATGCGCTCAGTGTCACAAAGGACATGGCATCACTCACGTTTTGCCTTCCAAGTTTGGCGAAATGGCTCAAATCTCAAAAGTCTCAAAGTCAATTCAATTCAACCGTTCAATGCAAATGCGATGCATCAAGCAAGGCATCCAACACCCGCCTGGCTTTCAGACTCCTCGACAAACATGCAGAGTTGCAACATGGCAAATTGCTGACATCCGTCACACTTTGCACAATGACCAAACCGACATGTGCCCAACATACCTGGCTTTTCTGGGTCTTCGTTCTTGTGGCCCGTGAGACATTTGCCCCGCCTGCGCTTTCTGCTTCATGCGCTCAATATCAAATATCACGCCACGGAACATGCGTTCCTGCAAAGACAAGTGGATGATGTCCGTGTTTTCTTGCAAAATGCAAACGCAGTAACAAATCTGACAGATTCCTCCCAAAAGTATGGCTCTGGTTTGTAGAGACACATGACATCACATGACTTCATGGCACCTTGTCTATACTTCTGCTCATGACGGCATAACTCGCTGTTCCAATTGTAGCCAGAACAGCAAAACCAAAAATCACCGCCGGTATATTGGTCTTCTTTGGCGGGCGAATCATGGCCAGCGCACTAAGCGCACCGCGAAGCCGCGCCCGCAGAATTTGACTTGAGCCAAATGTATTGAGGTCGCCGTCGCGATGTTCTTGGCGAATGTCTAAAAAAGTCACGGCGTCAAAGCAGTCCCTGGACAGCGGAACGGAATACGAATTACGGAGATTCGTTCCATTTCGGCACAAAACTTGTCTCCTCTTGGTTTTTTGGCAGAGGTGGTGTACACAACCTCAGCCGGGACAGCGAGCACAGCTGGAGTCAAATCGGATTGGGCTCCAGCAACCAGTAACCGCTCTTGGGCTCCAAGCGAGTCCTTCAAGCGCAAGGCCAAGAAATCTGCACCTTCCTACAGATCGAAAGGCACAACTTTGGTTCACAAATTCTCCCACCAAAGATGATGAAAAATGATGAAAGATGATGAAAGATGATGAAAGGCTCAAAGGATCTCAAAGGCTCAAAGCTCAAAGTTGGTCTACGACTCTACCATGCCTCCAGGAACCACTTTGGACCTTGGTATTGACATCCACATCATCAAGGACCATCATCCACTCAAGACCGCTTCACTGCATTTCACTGCAAGTTTTGCTGAGGCGAGGGGCGCACTCCATTGTGGCCGCCGTCGAAAGTGACTAACTTCCTCCAGGAAGAATACATTGATTCTCCATCAGGATGTACATAAAAAAAAAAACGAACAACAATGCCGCGCCAATGGAGTGTTGCAAAAGGTCAAAGGAACATACTGAACTTGTTGAATTCGGAAGGCTTCTGCTACCAAGTTCTAGCGAATGACGTCCGGTCTTGGCCAATCATGCTCATGTCAAGTCGAGAAGCATCATGAGCCCACCTGACTTCAGACCCCCAAGCACGGTGGATGTCATAAGTGTGATGTGGAAGTATGAACTCCTGGCGAAGGCAGGGAAACATCCAAAACCTCTTCAAGCTTGGGCCACACAGACTTGCCACTGTCAAGGATTGCGCAATCTGACATTGCAAAATAAGGATCGGATTACTCAGAGTAAGTGCAGAAAATCAAAACACTGTGCTCACGGACTGTCACGGACTATCAAGCTTCAGAAGGGAAATGCAGCACTGACAGCTCTACAACAGCTCTACGAACACTGAAATCAGAGATCCTTTTACATGATTTTACATTGTATTAACCAGGTGCGACGTCATCTTCTGCTGTAAGATTGCAGGTGCGACGTCATCTTCTGCTGTAGCAAAGAGGGCAGGGGACCTGGACTGCAAAGTCGTCATCCAACTGTGACATCGACATCGACTGCGGCGGAATCTGAGAGATCCACCTTGCCAGTGGGGCACTGCGTATCGGCTGCAGGTCCTGCTGAACCAGCAATGCCAGATTTGGATAACCAAAATGCCCTGGAAAATGATCTAAATATTTGGATATTAATGGTTATTCATGATTATTAATGGATATTATAATGGATAGTATAATGGATAATCTAAATCCTTGTGTGATTCCGATTTCGATTTGCACGTGGGGATTTTTGCATCCATGTGTCAGGCATGATGCATTGACGCTATGTACTGAACCGCTTTTCAGGTGGGTTTTGGCGGCACCAGTTTACGCCGTGAGAACATAGCTCCCACTCTTAGACCATAAAAAAAACTTCTTTCTGCAAGAATCCAATGTGGCCAGGGTTTTGCTCCGTCAAGCAGCGATGCGCCGAATCCAATGTTTTTCCAATATGTTTGCACTCCGTTCTGTGGTCTCCCTTGCCCTCTCTCTCTCACCTTCCTTGTCACTTGAGAAACACATAGAAACACCACATCCTGAGATGTCAAGTGTCTCACATCCTTTTTGCCCGAACCATTTTCTTTCCAAGTGTCCTCAATGTCAAAGTTTGCACGTTCCAAGATTTCCCTGCGGACGCGGCTGAGGGCCATATTCCTCGGACGAGGACCGTAAAAACCGTGGGATCTGCATGGGACTTGGGACGCTCCAAAGGCTGGGAGCTCAGCATCATGAACTCGGGAACAGGTATCTGGCCTGGCATTCGTTGTCGGAAACGTCACGGAAAATATCTCATTTTTGGCATTTCACAAATTTTCACAACTCAAAAATACTCTAAACACATCTAAACACAAAAAAAAATGAAATGTATTGAATTTTATGTCATTTTTGTCATTTCTCAATCAGCTGGAGCTTCTGTTGACCAGTTCTTGTGCCACCAAAGGGAGACTGCCTTCGCCACGGGTCAAAATTCAGGGGATCACTGTTCTCATTTTATGACCGAACTATTCCATTTTGGGACCCCTGTGCGTGGCCCATGAATGATAAAATGAGAAGATTACAGTCAAATGATTGAAGATCAAATACCTGTCCGACTAGCGATTGTCAAATGATGAAAAAATGATGAAAATGTGTGTCCTTTCAACAAAACAATGCCCTTTTTTACTCAGTCAAGGACTGAAGGGAGAGTCCAAAACAATGGCACTGATGCTCCAATCCTGCGAAATCAACGGGACTCGCAACATCTTCCAATCGCTCTGGGGTATATCAAAGACTTCTTCTTTTGCTGCAATAGTCCATGTCTTCCAAAGCTTGTCATTTTGCCATTGGTTTTTATTATAAGTTCTACAAGTGTTCAACATAACAGTAGATATGGATTTTGATTTCTATTTGCCATTGGTCTTTTCTTATACCCTCTGGTTATTTGTCACACAGCCATGGAAAATGGCCCATAGAAATAGATGGTTTACCTATTAATAGCATGATGATTTTCCATGGCAAACTGTTAGTCATAACCAGATGGTATATAATAGTGATGATTAGTGATGATTAGTGATGTGTGTATCTTCATCCTGACAATATTTGACACAATTTCCATTGGTCTTTTCTTATAAATCCTCCAAGATTTACCCTCTGGTAAACTAACATAACTATGGAAATCACCATGTTTTATGGGTATATCAACTATAAATGGCCATGTTCAATAGCTATGTTAGTTTACCAGAGGGTACAGTTTTTCACCACCAGATACCAGTCAGACTTCTCCTCCGCGGCTCGAAGAATGGAAGTTGCGGCTCCCATCGACCTCCGACATCGATCCCCAAACGTGCAGAAAAAAGGCGTTTGAGTGGAGCAGAAGGTTCCAATGAAACCTTGTCTATATCTATATACAAATTATCACATTATCACATGATCATATCATCATACTATCATATGTTGTCTATGGAGCTGTATGTTTGAATTCTGTATCTATGTCGGCACGTATGTATGCATGCTGCATCGTTTGTATCTGTGCCTATCTTCGTATGTACGTGCGTATTTACGTGTGTCCTGCCTGCCTACCTGCCTGCCCTGCCTGCCTGTCTGTGTGTCTGTTTGTCGGTACGCATCGATGGCTGGCCGGATGGATGGATGGGTGAATGTCTGTTTGTATGCGCGCTTCAATTTGAAATATGTTTGCATGTGTGTATTTTCTGTACGTATGTGTGTACCGATGTATCAAGTATCAAATATGGGCATTTTACAATGAGGTCAAGTCCTCTTTTTTGCAGTGTCGTATCAACCAACAGCCTCTCTTCTTTATTTATGGTTGACTCCTACAATATCTCACACTGGGTATCCTACGAACACATCAAAGTCTTGAGTAGCTCAACGATACTCTCTAATACTAGATACAATGTAGATATGTACACATGATTCTACATTGTTTACATTCATAAGCATATCCAAATATACATACACATACATATTTATACATATACATATATATATGTATGTGAATTCTTGCCAGTGCCGATTTCCCTTGGATTGTCCCAGGGCTTCTCGATGTCGCACTTCATCCGACATCCGACGTTGCCGTGGCTCAAGTCAGGCAGTCAAGGTGAACATCCAGCTCTAGCCTACTGGCTGGTCTCTTCAGCTCCATATATACAAAATATACTATTTACACTATATATGTATATTTATTTATATATATATATTGATTTCATATATAATGTATATATTATGTATGTTTATTTCTGTATCTATGATATACTATTATACAGTATAGACCGTATATACATCTATAAATCATATATAAATCCAATCACAAATATCTATATGCAGCAGTTTATGACATTGACAGCGCTTCAGGCCTGCCCCAAAGTCCAAGGTGTGTGACTCCCAAGGATCTCAAATGTTGAATCAGAACCTGAGAAGCCCCGTAGAATCCCGTGGGATCCCATGGGCAGCTTGGCCTAAAACCCAAATCTTCGGGTCCGGTGCCTTCGATACATTACCCTTTCCCTTGCGGAACTCAATGTGAATGATGAAAAATATGGTAAATTGTAAAGGTTAGTGAAAGTCACAACAGCAAAAATGTGAGAAAATCTGACTTTGTCAGCTCTTCAATTTTTCAGTGTATCTGATGTGCAACTTCCATCAACATCAACTTCCCTCAGTTTTGACCTAGCGCTGTCTCGGTCCGTGGCTTTCAGATCTTGTTGTTCAAAATGGCCCAGAGAGATGAACTCGCCTTCACTGTGACCTGACCTACGGGTGTACCAAGGGGATGCTCGTTGAAGAAACTCGTTGAAGAAACTCGTTGAAGAAACATGTTGCAAAAGTTTGAAGAAACTCTTTCGAAGTCTTTCGAACTTCCATTTCTGTTCATCCGTTCTTTCCGTTTGTGTCTTCAGTGTACGCCAATAAAACATGAAACAGGTGTTCCACGCATCTTGCATGTGAGCGTGCAAGCTCTGCTCGTGAAAAGTAGTACTGGACAGCACAGACAGCACATCATTGCACCAGTTCTAGGCTACTGGCCCAGAAAGATCTATGGAGCAAAGCATCATGTTCCGGGGCAGGATCACCTTCGTGAAACAAATCAAATCACTACAAATCCCTATAAATCGCTACAAATCCCTACGAATCAAACATGACTTGAGGCCAGAAGGATGCAGCTTTCAGACCTGGAGGACGTCCATGGCTTCCACTCTCGACGAGCAGTTGCCGTGCAAATAGATGACACACCTCGACGAGCAGGCGTGCTACGGTTGGCACATGGTTGGCACATGGTTGGCACATGGTTGGCACATGGTTGGCATGGTTGACACGATGAAG